GATTAATATTTCTTATCAAAATCAAACGCTTCTCTATGTGTGATTGCTTGATATAAGATAGATCGATGACTTAATATATTGATTATATTATAGTAAAATTTGGTAAAGAACATGTTATGAGGACGGGAGTTAACTATAATTGCATCGAATGAATACGTACGTATATAAATTGCTTTTAAAAAAATAGTATAATAATATAGTATTACAATTGTGTTCAAAAACATAAATGCATTGAAAATGTTACATGGCAAAAAATTTCAGATTGTATCTCAGGAGGTACTTGTTGTCATAGCTTACATGTACGTCATTTGTAGCGGGTAAATGATAATTAAGTTGATTTAATATTGGCATATATTACATCATATCGATATCGAATTCGTTTAATAGAGAATACCTTGCAAATGAGACACATATAATATTATATGTCTCGATAAAAACAATTCAGATGGAAAATTGATTGATAACGATAACTAATTTGCATAAGGATCTAATCAGACGAGTCATTGCTTGAGTGACAACAAATTAGTTTAACAGTTTTTGTATTTGTAGATTTTAAAGAATTATTTATCTATTTATCCATTTGTATAGAAGTACATCTTTCTAAATGTTATTGATTATATATACAAAGCAAGTTATTTGCAATATTGAAGTTATACAAAGTAGGGAGTATGACACGCATAACGTGTGATAATTTAAGGGAATGTATTCGTACTACGTATTTATTTACAAGTAATGATATTCGTAATTGGCTTTTTTATTTCTTATTAACTTTTTTAGCCCAATCAAGCAACTCTTGACACTCGTTATTTCCCGATAAATCAATGTGTCGTAAGTGAGAAAGTTTTGCCTTAATCATGGGTTCGATTAGTTCAGAGGTCACATGCGTACAATCTTTGAATTGCAGTGTAGTCAAGTTTTTGCACGATGCTAATTCGATAAGCGGTTCAGAACTTTCGAAATCTACTTTTTCGAGATTAACGGTGCGTAATGCGTGCTGCTGATGAACGAGAGCTGGACCAATTATATCGGAACGTTCAGAATTGTATAGTCGGAAATGGTCCAAGTTTTTAGGCGCCGATAAGAGCTTATTCCAATTGGCTTTAATTTCGGATACGTTCTGATACCGGAACATATCGGACCATTCAATATCCAAGTCTCTCTAAAAAGTATGATGGTTTTAAAGGTTAATAAGAACAAGGAGATGTAAAGATAAAGTTGATAGATAATTAGAAATTTGCATTTACCACATTGCATGAGATGGTTGCCAAACTTCCAAATATTTCAGCGAACATGTATTTTGTGGCTTCAATCTTTAATTTTTTGATATTGCGCAGTAAAGTTTTAGCTTCGGGTGTAGCGAGAGCGTCATCGTGGTCTTGTACCGGATACGGACCGACGCGAGTAGAAATGATCAAAGATTGAATAGTTGCTCCGTACTCTACAAATAATCGTAGCATAGTACGTAAGACCACCCGTATTTTCGACATTTGATCGTAATGGTCCGCTTCCAACTCTTGTTCACGTGCACCGACGAAAGCGACAAGTTTATAAAAATTTAGGTGTTTTAGGAAAGCGGAGTATGCGTACGTTGTGGAACGATGTGTTTTCGGAAATTTACTGAGAGGGAATTTAATTCCACTGAATTTAAGCTCATCGCGTTGATCATTCGTTAGACATTTGAGATACGTGTTTATTAGGGATTGTTGGGCAGTCTTGCTGAGGTTCGAGTGAAAAGGTTGAAGCCACAGATAACGAACGGCGTTCGCTGACCAATGTTTCGAAACTAGCATGCAAGAATGAAGGGAAGTGATATCGACCTCAAGAAAAGTTTGGCTGTTTACATTTTGAATTTTCGAATTTATCGGATTATTGCTGTTATCATTATTATTATTATTGTTGCTGTTGTTGTTATTAGATCCTGCATCATTGCAGTTATTTGAATTTTTATAGGTAATAAAATTATGAAAAATCTCTTGAAGGATTTCAGAAGGCAAATATGGCAGTGAATTTTTTGGATTTATTTGGGTTTGCATGGTATAGAGAAAGGTTTGTTCTAAAATAAGATGAATAAACGAAAAAATTGGGCAAGTCGTCGTTTTTCTACGATTTTTCAATCAAAATAAAGCCCATTTTTCTGTCATTCATATCTGGACAAACAATAAACAACGTACCGATGTTATCGATAAGAAAATAACACAGATTCAAAAACTACCTAAATCGAACTTCATTTCCCACACCAAATGTGCGTTATCAGATTTTGCTTGAATAATAATAAATTATTTTAGTGGTGTTTACACACGTTTATTTTAGTGGATTATCATATTATCATCATGCACTGATGAGTGATGAAAGATAACTTTAAGAAGCTTGTGATCAAACTTGTAAGAATTCCTGCAGATTATTTTTATTTATGTATATAGAGATTTTCTTTCTTTGTGAAATTCAGATGGTCAGCCGACGCTCAGGTGATACTACATGAGTGTACCACCAAACTTTGGTGTTTCAAAAAAACACAACCAAATAATTTAATAGTTTAGCTTTAAAGATCTTGAGATAAAAACATCTTAATGAAGTAATAACGATTACAATAATGGCTTAGGCAAACATTGTTGTTTATTGTTCCGGAATTGCCGTCTAACCGATGATCACATTTTTGTGTCACTTCATCAAGATTCCACAAAGTTGCATGAAAAAAAAATATGATGCATCTATTACCCGAATTAGTTTTAACAGAACGTTATTGGAAACAATGGGGGGAATAATACTCGTTAAAATATGTGACGCGTAAAAAGACATTGAACGCGTTTTAATTATGTCAATTTTTGATTACCAAAAACTCTTAATAATTCGTTTCGTTTAAAGACCGCAAATACATACGAAAAAAATTACAAGTTATTGTTTCTTTTTTTTTATAGATCGTGTGTGTTATCATTGTAATAAGATGAAAAAATAAAGACAAAGCTTATGATTCAATAAAGACATCGTACCATAAGTTTAGGTGTTGTATATTGAGATGAATATATGTGGAGCAGTCAGTAAAAGAAATGCAAATCATTAAAATCTTTGGTTTTGTGATAATTAGCATTTTATCTTTTGTATCTTTATATAATATTTCAACATTTTATTAAGTAAATCGATGTTCAGTATATTTTGTTGCTATTTTTTTGTTATAAAACATAATTTTGAAGAAAAATTGACTTACTAGGTTTTTACTGACCGCTCTTCATTAAAATCGTACGATAGATAAGATCATGCCACTATACTTGATAGAAAAATCTATTCAACGAAAGCCTGCCGTTTTAGTTACGAACTTCGGTATCGTCGTCTTTTGCTCTTGACTAGCCAATAGGAAATTTTAAAGGGTATTTGAATTTAGCTCTTTCCAAAGAGCATTATTGGAATATCTTTAACAAATATCTCAATAATCTTATCTAATGGAAAAACATCTCGATCTATTATTATTTAATAAAGTGTCCAACAATATTCATATGGTGAATGAAACGATAACATGTTTTTAATTTTTGAATAAAATCACATAGTCTAATAAAGGAAACAATAGCGATAAAAAATTCACTTATTATCATTTTACACGTGTTAACAATCAGTAATTTCATCAATTCATGCATAATTTATACGGGATGGTTTATTCCATATGAACATCAACATGTAATTACATCCACATGTATATGGCCGATTGATGCTATACGCAATTTGTCACAGAATAAACGTCATTTTATTATTAAGAATCAAAAATCATTTGTCACGGAATAAACGTCATTTTATTATTAAGAATCAAAAATCATTTTGTTTTTCAGACACATCAGATGTTGAGAAAAAAAGGAAATTAATTTGCGTTTGATACATGTAAAATAAGATAACGTAATTGAATGCACGGAAATCTTTTTATTGTCTGTGAATATTGCAATTGAATAGAATAATTAAGTAATGAACAGTATTTAGCTTCAATGAGATTGACAGAACTTTTTGCTGAGCCTCTGATCCATCTTTCGCTACGGGGGGGGGGGGGGGGTCAATCTTTGGGTTTAAAGCAAAAGATCAACCAATGCAATTGTTCCAAAAGCAACCACAACATAAATAAATGATTTTCTCTTTATATGCAGCAAAAACTCTTCACCATTGGGATGGAGATAAAAGCTAAACAGACTATGTCTGAACAGTAAAGGAAAGCCATGACACACGCACGTGGTGAAATTCCACTCGTCATCTTTGTTGCTGTTCATTGAATGAAACCAAGATTGAACATAATCTGTCCAAACCGCGGAACACCATCAATGGAAACGCACTCTAAACCATGTGAGTACGTTCTTATCAGGCAAAAATGGAAATATCCAGAGTACTGATACAGTGAAGACATCGAAACGGACCCAGGGTAAAGGAGTATGAATTTTTGTGGACGGCAGCTGCACCAAGGAGTTCACCAAGTGGGATCCTCCCTGAAGAAAGCCAATAGATCCTTCACAGCGAATGCGAATGTTGGAAAGATGATATTTTCAATGCGTCTGTGAAGAATAAAAGCCAAGACACAGCTGAGTATAGGCAGATAAAACGACGTTCTGAAAAGAACGAACTATGTACCATGTTTCATATAAGTAGAAACTGTTCTTTCGATTGGTCAATCGTGTTACCGTCCGCATTTGAAGTTTGAAATTGGGTTATGAAACAGATAATTCCAGCAAAAAGCAAGATGGACAGCAGATCCCATTTCCTTTATGGTGATGATGAATAAAAAAGCATCAGAATCTCATAAAGATGTGTACATTGGCATCATTTTCTTTAGTTTTCACCGAAGATATCACGTGATATGACACGACGGAAGAGTTCTAAAGACCGAGACAGCCGCCATAGGAAACTACTGATGAAGAGCAGCTAATTTCCAAACTATTCTTAATGAATGCATTAAAAATGTTAATCAAAGAATCCAAAAAGAGCATGCTGTGTCTACTAAAGCGTTTGTTCGATAAGTGTATCATGAGTTTGTGTACCCTGAAGTAATCCTAATCATAATCGAAACATAAAAAAATCACATGATCGACAAATTTTTTCGCCATGACATTTGCCGCTACCCTCGATCTGAGGAATGTCTTCATCGCTATGTGGAACACGAACACTAATGAAATGATGTTGCCATTCTAAAAGAAATTAGGTGATCCTAGATGGATATTTTTAATTAAGGAAATTTTAACTCCAAATAGTTTTGTTATCAGGAAGAATCGAAGAGGATTGGCCTAAAAAAAGTACTTCTTGATGATAACTATCTACATACTAATTATTGGTTCCAAATTCGTTTAGTTATTAGATCCCGAAGTGACGTTTATACTCAATTCGAAAGTTAGGTTAACTAACGAATTGTAGCAGTAACAAAGGCGGGTGGTTAGACCGAATGATTTACACGAAGAGGAGTTCATTGGTTTCTGTGCCAATCTTTCATGGATGTGAAATCAAGGGTAAAGGTTAAGTTCAAAAATGATAATTTGAATTTAAAGAAGCAAAATTTACTAACACAATTATAGAATATCAAACATAAATAACAAATTATAAGCTATTTCAAAATAATATAGGAATTCACTATTCAAAATAAAAATAATATCAAAACAATAAATTCAATATCAAAGTAACAAAATATCAAAATAATCAAAAAAAATATCAAAATATCAATATCAATATCAAAAGAATCAAACGCCATTCATTAACTTTATATGGCCAAAGCAGTAAAGCCTTCGATTTTGTTAAGCACAAATAAAGCAAGCTATCAATTTCGTTATGGCACAAAAGAAATAAAAGTCGAGACGAAGTTAGATAAGGGTTAATATAATTTTTCTTCAAACCACACATCGCCTGTCTCTGACCTTTTAGAGCTATTCTTTATATACAATTCGGTTATTTTAACTATCTAGATTACAGATTGTTATTCAAATACATAATTCGCGGTTTCCAACGTACAAAGTATGAAGTTTCGTAAGAATTTTTACAAAAGAGCATGGCTATGCTTCGAGATAAGGAGTATAATAAAAGTTAATTAAT